CACAAAACCGCGAACGCTAAGAATTTTTGTCGAAATTGTTAATTCGTCTTCGTCACCTCTCCTTTTCCTTCATTTTCATTTTACAGTCTGTTCTGGTGAAGTACTTAAACAATGCTTAAACAGCAAAGCGTTTGGTTAAAAGAAAAGCTTACAGCTTCGGATTAACTGCTGTCATGCTGCCATAATCAAATGGCAGATACGTCGTCACATCTTTCGGCTCGAAAAATGGTAGATAATGAGGGCTCTAAAGTACTGTCTGTTTTATTCTCGAACACATTTCAACTCGAAATTTTAAAAAAGTTGGCTCAAACAGTAAATGTGGTTATTCCACGCCAATGGTGCTACTACGATGTGCTCACACGCCGAGTGTTGTACGTTCACGAAAATGCTTTGCCAGCTGAAAAATATGTAAGTGCAGCTAAAGAAATAATTGCAAACCTGGATATTTTGCAGCTGGTATCGAAGAAATTTGTGCCCGTCCGGTCTTTGATGCTGGAATGCAAGTCCAAGCAGATGTCCAATAATTCTGATGTATTCGTGCAGCTTAAATTTGAATTATTTTAGCCATGCCAATTTGACGGCTATGACACAGAATTATTAGATCACATTGGCTGCAATCAATGTGGTCAATATCCCGTGTCATGTTGATTGTACCCCAGCTCGTCATGTCAAATACACTGCACTGCTCGCCCTATCAGTGGCGCATAAGGAGCTTCGCTCGCTAGCGGTTTTGCCGTTGTAAATTCTTCAAGATTTCTCCTTCTTATCGCTACGTCTCGTCTTCCGGCAGGCAACACAGAGCGCAGCACATTTTGCACGTGCCTGGGTTTGTAAAAACTAGCAGTATGGGGAATTGTAATGGGTCTTCAGCGCTTTTACTTCAGGTAAATCCCTGAAGCTTTTATCACAAGACTTCCTCTTTGATCATGACTTGCTATTGAGGTTGATGATGAAAGGAAATTGAGCTAACTATGCACCTATCACCAGCTCGAGACAAAGATAAAGTCGTAGACGCAGATTTTTTGCAGACGTATTTTAAAAAATCCAGAAAACCACATCGATATATCCCAAAAGTCTGACTTTTTCTCCGGCTAATTTTTTTGAGAATTTCCATCATCTCGAATAGTGTTTGCATGTTTCGACACTTAGGTGCATCTCGCACAAGCGATAAGACCAAAAGTCGCCCTCCAAGAAATTTTGTGAAAAATCTCAGCAATGTTGTTGTATCAGCGAGCACGTAGTATATTAGTAAAACTTACCTTACCGTTCTGCGGCACCAATACCATTTGCTCATCTTCCACCTGCTTTCCAATCACAGCATCCATAAAAACATTGTTATCCTGAAAA